TCCATCGTCTAGATGTACCACAGTTTATCCACTCACCTACTGAAGGACATTTTTGTTGCTTCCAAGTTTTGACAAATATGAATAACGTTGCTATAAACATTCATGTGCAGGTTTTTGTGTGGGTGCAAGTTTTCAACTCCTTTGGGCAGATAATGAAGGGCATAATTGCTCAATCATAAGGTAAGAGTATGATTAGTTTCATGAGAAACCACCAACCACTTCCAAAGTGACTGTACTATGTTGCATTCCCACCAGCAACAAATGGGAATTCCTGTTGCATGTCCTTTTTGGCATTTGCTGTAGTCAGTTCTGGATTTTGGCCATTTTAACAGGTGTGTATTGGTATCTCATTGTTGTTTCATTTTGCATTTCTCTAATGACATATGATTTAGAGTATCTTTTCACATGCTTATTTGCCATCTTTATTATCTTGGTTGAGATGTCTGGTATGTTCTTTGGCCCATTTTTTAGTTGAATTGTTTTCTTATTGTTGAGTTTTAAGAATTCTTTGTGTATTTTGGATTAGAGGTTTTTTAAAATCAGATATCCCTTTTGCAAATATTTTCTTCCAATCTGTGACTTGTTTTTCCATTACGTTGACGTTGTCTTTTGCAGAGCAGAGATTTTTTTTTATTATATTTTGATGATGTCCAGTTTATCAATTCTTTCTTTCACAGATTGTATCTTGATGTGATATTCATTTTCATATCCAAGGTCATCCAGATTTTCTCCTTGGTGATTCTCTTCTAGAAGTTTATAGTTTTGCATTTTACATTTAGGTTAGTGATACATTTTGAGTTATTTTTCTGAATGAAGTTACTTTCCTAAATATTTATGTTCTTCCTTAAAAATGTTTTGGAAATGTACAGCTCTTTACATGTTAATCTTTTCATCTTTTTTTGTAGGCATCTTCACTATCTTTACAGAGTGAAATATCTCCACATTAGATATTTGGTGAAAACATTTCTTTTTCTCAGGGCACTGTAGGAAGGACTTAAAGTTGCCACTGGAGCTTTTGTCTCTCCCTTTCTGACTGCATTTGCCCCCATTTCTGATTGTAGTGAAGATTTCTCACTTGGAGACCTATAATTTTTCAGTGCATCAACTATTTTATCTCCTTCAGTTAATTTACAGTGAACATCTGGTTAAGAGTTTCTAAAATAAATTTGAAAATAAGCCCAGCTGAAGCCAGGATAGCCACTTGGCCTAGCCCAGCCTAGATGAGCTGTATTTAACTATGCAACATTACTCATATTTTTTCAGAATTCTTTTGGATTTATTTTTAGAAGTACCCGTACTCTGATGCATTCATTATATCTAATTTCAGAATTCCACTGTTCATGTTTTCTTCTACCTCAATGGCAGCCTTATCTGTCATCTTTAGCAAATGGTGGATCTGACTTTATTATTTAAAGCTTATTCCATACTCACTAGCTTTTTAAAACTTTATTTTCCTGATTAATAAGTTTGCTCATCTTTCTATCCACTCTTTAGCTTCTTTTTCCCCCCACTGTTTAATATAAAACATCTTAATATAAAAAAATCAATATTTTATTTATTGCATTTTCTTAAGAAAATCCAGAAAAGGGATCACTTCATATTTCCATAATAGTACAACATTGCAGATTGAAAACAACTCTTTTGAACACAGCTGAACTTTCAGATAAATTGACGTTCACTTGATTGCAGGATTCAACATTACTCAGATGTTAATACAGAGTCAAAAGTGGCAGATAGAACTTTTCAAATTGCTTATGTTTGTTCCACCTGGTTGCACTGATGAACACACAGGCTGTATTCATCATTGCTTGCATCTGTGTTCTTCAGAGCCAATAAAATTTTTTCCACCCTCAGACCATCGTCATAACACACTATCCAGAGGATTAAATATAGAACATGCCTATACAATATATCATACTGATCTGATGTTGATACTTATATCACACTTGGAAACTCCCATTATAAATTTTTCCTCCGGAAGAACAAGAGGCAACTTTTCATCTTGCTCGGCAACATCTATATAATTTATCAGGTCTAGCGGCCCTTCAAGACATTTTCTCTGAGAGAGTTTCAGTGTCTTAATGGCACCACCACATTTTATTTGAAATTCTACACACATATTTGAATTATTGTTGCTTTGTCCTGAGCTCTTGGTGGAATTTACATTGAGACTGGCCACAGGGCTGGACTATGAAAGGCCCCCAATGCTAGAATCTACAGACTTGCTCTTAGTACTGATTTCACCACTTTGGGAACTGCTAGTACTGTGTCTTTTTTTTTTTTTTTTTTTTTTTTTTTTGCCTTTCCAAAACATTTTTCACCATAGCTTCATCTAGAGAATATCACCATAGAATCAAATATTATTTTATTATCTTCAAAGGTTCTAAAGACAGGTCTGCACAGATAGCTTCCTTTCATCCTAACATAGTTAGTTCTTTTTATAGAAACAATGTACGTCAACACCGAGCATAGGCGGAGGACCGCCTATGTTTCTGTTACAGTCAGAGCACTGCACACCTCCTTAGTTTCTTGTGAAAGCAGTTTTTTACTTCTCATAATATAGAAATTTTCATCAGAAACATCTCCTCAGTGCTGTCTGAAGTTGTTCTTCAGTCTTCTGATATATTTTGAAGGCTGTTTGCTTGTAGCTACTTGAAATTGAATGTCTTTAGTGCATTGTCTATTATTTTGCTTGATGAATGTTCTGGATATTTCTTGTAATGTCAGGTTCAACTTGTTCTAAATGTTCAGGTCACTCTTTGCTAAGTCTTTTTCTAAAAGAATGTATTTTCTAAGTCCAAGCAAAGAGTTGGAGATTTTCAGCTCTTTTTTAATGCCTTCTGGTTTTTCTATTTCCCATAGTTTGTTTCTGAGCATGGATTCCATTAAAGTTAAGTCAAGGCCTTCAAATTCTTTTTGGAAAAGGTTAAATGTGTAAAAAATTTGAAAGTCTTTCCTCTAGAAGAAGAGAAACATCAGTGGCTAGTTCTATGTCTTTACTTGTATAAGATAGGCCTTTAATTATTAAAAATCTGATCATGACTATAAATAACACCATCTTCCACAGCAATCCATGGGTATCGGGATCTGGTTGAAAGTCCTCTGGCAGGGCTGCTGCTGGCTGGCACAGTGTCCCCTAGAACCAGTGCAACACTGAACATCACAGCCATGATCAGTCTCTCTGTGATCCCCTAGGCTGTTGTGAGGCACTTCAGTTTGTTAGGTCTCATAGACCATCATACAGCACCAGAGAGTATTCTGCCTGGAACCAAATCAGTGCCTGGTAGACTTCAGTGGAGGTGAGAGAGAAGGAATAAATACAGTAAATTGCTGGCTAATTCTTCTCCTTCTCTCTCTATTTTTTTTTAAAGAGACAGGGTCTTGCTATGTTGCCCAGGCTGGAGTGCAATGGCTATTCACAAGTACCATCATAGAATACTATGACCTTAGACTGGGCTCAGACAATCCTCCCACCTCAGCCTCCTGAGTAGCTAGGAGGAGGTTTGCACCCCTGCACCTGGCTTCTCCTTCTCTTAAATAAACTTATCATTTTGTGGCCCTGGATCTTTTAGCCACAGAGCACCAAAAACTTCTTATTCTCAGAGCCTCTTCATGTCTGTCTGGCCTTGACTATTCACAGAGAGGGCAGAACACAAGTGGGGAAAAGATTATGAAGGACTCTACAAAGGGTTTCAACTTACTTCACCAATTATACCTTGAAAAACAAAGGAAGAAATAAGTTGGAATTTTAGAAAGTTTTCACAACTGAAGCCTGTACTGTAGTTATGAGCTAGGAAAACTCAATTTTCTCAAACTCTTTTTGCATGTGGTAAAATGTTTGATGATGCAGAAGCCCTTCAAGATACTTTTCAGAATGATAATCTTTGAGGGTATCAGATGCTGATGCAGCTTTCCTCACAGGGACTGATCCCTAGGCAGTAGGGGACCCAGGCTTTGTTCAACTGAATTTAACAACTCAGTCTTGGCCAGGCTTGGTGGCTCACACCTGCATCCCAGTACTTTGGAAGGCCAAGGTGGGAGGCTCACTTGAGCCCAGGAGTTCTAGATCAGACTGGGCAACATAGCAAGACCCTGTCTCTACAAACAAACAAATGAAACTTAGCTGGGCACAGTGGTGTTTTCCCACGGTACTAGCTATTCTGAGGCTGAGGTGCAAGGATTGCTTGAGCCCAGGGGTTTGAGACTGCAGTGAACTCTCATTGTGCCACTGCACTTTAGCCTGGGCAACAGTGAGACCCTGTCTCTGAAAGTCACTTTATCAGGCCATTCTTACGTTGCTATAAATAATTACCTGAGACTAGGGTAATTTATAAGAGGTTTAATTGGCTCATGGTTCTGCAGGCTGTACAGGAAGCATAGCACTGCGACTGCTTATGGGGATGCCTTGGGAACTTTTACTTATGGGGGAAGGCAAAGTGGGAGCTTGCATGTCACGTGGTCAAAGCAGGAACAAGAGGGAGAGGGAAGGAGGGGAGGTGCCACACACTTTTAAACGATTGCATCTTGTAAGAACTAAGTCACTATGGTGAGGATAGCACCAAGCCGTGAGGGATCTGCCCCCATGATCAAAATACCTTCCACTAGGCCCTGCTTCCAACACTGGGGATTATATCGCAACAGGTGATTTGGAGGGCACATCCAAACTATATCACACACACCATCCCATTGACAACAAATTAGTAGGAATTTTAAAAATTCTACTTATTTCTTCCTCCTCCTTCTTCTTCTTCTTTTTTTTCTTGGAGACAATATCTGTCTCTGTCACCCAGGCTGGAGTGCAGTGGCATGATCATGGCTCACTTCAGCCTCGACCTCCTATGGTCAGGTGATCCTCCCTCCTCAGCCTCCCAAGCATCTGTGACCGTAGGTGTAAGTCACCACACCTGACTAAGTTTTTTGAGTTTTAGTAGAGACAAGGTCTTGCTATGTCACCCAGGCTAGTCTTGAACTCCTGAGCTCAAGGGTCCTCCTGCCTCAGTCTCCGAAAGTGCTGGGATTACAGATGGGAGCCACTGTGCCCAGCTCTTCCTTCATTTTAAAAGGTAAAATTGGTGAAGTAAGTTGCAACCCTTTGTGGGGCCCACTGGTTTTGGCAGGGCCAGGCTGGGATGAATGGCTCTGCAGGTCTGGCTGAGCTCCCTCATGTGTGCTGAGGACAGCTGATATGGGCAAGTGCAGCTCCAGCCTTGGCTCTGGCCCACATATTTCTTACCCTTGTTTTATAACCTGTGTTACAAGCCCAGTCTTTTCTGCCCATGGTAACGGCAGATGCACAAAAGAGCCATTGGGGAGCAGTTATCCAATCTACATTTTCAAAAGTTCACCCTGACTATGAGATGTCAGAATCTCATTTGATTGCCTTTTCATGAAGTCATGATCCTCAGGGAGCCTGTAGGTTTTCTGGAAGTAGGATATAGAATAGGAGCTGATATAGTCACCCATTTCTTCTATTTATGTGGCTCACTTCACCAGTCACTGTCAAGAAAAGTTGGGATATTTGAGCTGACAGAGATGAGATCACAATAAACACCAACCCAGAGATGGCTACACATGTATTCTGAAATGACTACACTCTGTTGACCAGGTGAGGAGTGGCCCTCCACAGCACATACTGTCCTATGGGCAGAGCGACAACTTAGGTATCCAAGATGCTGATGCAGCAAGGTCTAGTGCTGAGTAACTGCAGGATTCCAGGGAGCTCTTCATAGCTATAGGCCTCAGTTTCTTCTTTAAAGAGGAGGAAATATGTGAATAGAATCTATATCCTGAATCAGTGGGGTTCAAGCTGGTGTGAATACTTCATCTTTGAAAGGGCTGAGATACTTTTTCTAGTACGTTTAATTTTTTAATTTTTTTAAATTGATTGTAGAGTTTTCCTGAAAGAATAAATCAACACTGATATCAAGAGAGCAAGGAATGATGGACCAAGTCTTTCCAAAACCTATTACCTTGCCAAAAGGTGGTAAGTCATTACTTCTTGTCCTGAAATACCAGCAGCAAGTAAGAGCTCCAGAATTTCAGCCAACATGACGTGTTGTTTTTTATATTCCCATTTCCATCTGAGGTGCACAGCTCCTGGCTGTCCTGCCTCTTGGGGAACACCATGATTCCTTCCTGGGCTGGCAGATGACTGATAAAACATAAAGAATGTCTGGAGGAAGTTGTCTATGCTTTGTGAAGTCCCTTTTTAATTTATTTACTTTTTCTTATTTTTTCATTTTTTAATAACTTGTTTTTCCCACATGCCTTCTATCCTTCTGATCCCCCCATTTTTTTAATACAAAAAATTAAGTATTTAGGGTTTCTTTTTGCCATGTAGCACATAAACAGACCTCCTTAATAGACTGCTTTTTGGTTTGAAAGAGAGAAGCAGTCAAGAACACAGGTTCTTGAAAATAAGGAAGTGTGTTTGTGAGCATATGTGTTTTGGGGGAGGGTAGAGAGTAGGGTTAAGTGATGATGGTTATGAGAATTTAAAGGCTTAGCAGAGCTGTGAGTTTAAGGTGGTCAGGAAAATTTTCTCCGTAGGTCTTTTATGTCCAAATCAGGGAATGTTTGTAGAAATATCAGATTTTCTTTCTATTTGGGAAGAGGTTGTCTCCCTTCAATCTTCCGTCTCCAAGAAAAAAAAAAAAAGAAGACGAAGGTACAAATAAGTGGAATTTAAAAAATTCCTACAATTTGTTGTCAGTGAGATGGCATGTGTGATAGTTTGGCTATTATGTTGAGATGTAATCTTATTTGTCCATCAACTGTTGAAGTTCCTTAGATGTCTTCTCTTTTCGTTCTGCAGATTTTCTCTCTCTCTCAGATTTACTATCCATTCCCATAAATTCACGTGTGATCTGTATACTGACGAATCCTTGTGCTGATCTCTGCTCATCTCAGACCCTTACAGCTCATTGTCCTAACTGATTCACTTAGATGACAAAAAGGCAGTTCAAAAGAAAAACCCCACAGCATTTAGCATTTCCTATCTTTGCCATTACATCTATTTCTTTGCCTTTGTTCTCTATCTCAGTGAATGGTACCATACCTGAGACAAAACACGGGAGGGAGAGAGTAGTCACCTTTGAGTCCTGGCCTCTCCTAATCCCATATTGAATCTATCCTGCTTATTTCTGCCCATTATACAAATTTACAACTTTGTAAAAAAAAGTTTTATTTCTTTTTACATTTTTTTTTTTTTAATTAAAAAAATATTTTTTGAGACAGAGTCTCCTTCTGTCACCCAGGCTGGAGTACAGTGGCACAGTCACTGCTCACTGCAGTCCTGGGCTCAAGCCATCCTCCCACCTCAGCCTGTGGAGTAGCCGGGACTTCAGGTGCATGCCACCACACCTGGTTAATTAAAAAAAAATTTATTGTAGAGATGGGGTCTCACTATGTTGTCCAGGCTGAATTTTACTCTTAAATATGAACTTCTCCTTCTCTCCACTACCATTTCCACTTTTCTAATTCTCTCCTTATCTCTCTTATGAACTGAAGCAAGACTTCTTATCTTTGTCTGTTTTTTTTTCTAAATTATATATTTTTCAGTCAGCATGATTTTACTAAAACACTTACCTGATTATTGTTCCTTTTCTGCTTAAAACTACTAATGACTTTTCATTGCCCTTAAGTTCTAAATTCCTTAATTTGAATTACAAAAGTCTTTGTAGCTGGCTTCTGAATGCCTTCCCAGCCTCATCTTTTAGTGCCTCTGCCTTGCTCTCTATGCTATTATCCTATTCGATTGTTTTAGTTCCTTCTACATGCCATGCTTCCTTGTTCCTCTGTCTTGGATCTTTTCCTTATTCATCCCGTTCTTCATCTGACTAACTTGTATATTATTCATACTCCTTCAGATATTGCTTAAATAAACTTTCTCTCCTGGAGACTTTTCCTCCCTCCACTAACACATCTGAGTGAGATGCCTCTCCTACATGTTCTCACAGCACCTATCATTTCTCACAGCAACTATTAATTTACTTACCGTAATGAATTGCAATTACCTAGTGTCTTGTCAGTACCTCTGACTAGACTGTAGTTATTGTGTTTATTTTTGTATGTTGGCACATACATAGAGGATACTCAGCCATTGCTGAGGGAATGGATGGATGACAGTGTTACAAACTCAGGTTCAGTTGCTCACTGCTTGCAGAGTCCAATTAACAAGAGGGAGGTCTGGTATGAAGAAGGTCACTTTTTATTCCAAAGCTAGCTCAGGGAAGAAGTACAGGCTTCCTGCCTTAAGGGTACTACTTTGCCTTTGAAGCAGAAAGTGGGTGCTTTTAAAGGGGGTCTATCATGAATGGCACACAGCAGTAGTAGTAAACAGGTGGGGACTCCATGTGCCAGCTTGGTGCCTTATCTACTGGGCAGTCAAGTTGCTGTCTTCATGGGCAGAAATAGGTTGTAAAGTGGCCATAAACTCTCCAGGTGAGAGAGAGTTTTGTAGCAGGACTTTGGGGTGTAAATAGACTATTATCTCTCGAGGCAACCTTCCTACTGGTGGGTGAGAGTTCTGTTCTGGAGCTTCCAAGCACATAGTTAGATCAACTTGCCCTGTAGGGAGTGTCTGGTGAAGGGAAGGTAAAAGGTTATCTTTGCATTTCTAAAAGGCTAAATGGAAAGTGGGAGATAGGGAGAAATGGAGAAAAGAGAAAATAGTTAAAAAATAGTAACTGTTTCTTTTTTTCTTAGAAAAATTAGGATACTTGGTTACGGAAGTATGAATGAATGATTACTTTTCCAGGGAGTCTGCTCTCTGTATCAGTGTTACTTGGTTCAGAGGTTCATATGTTCATGATTTCTATAATTAAATTCTGTTTGTAACTTTATAAGGTTTCCATATTAACATTGAATTTTGCATTGCTTACAAATTAATTTTCTATTTTTTCTCATTAGTTTTTTTCTATTTGCAATTTAAGGTAGAACTTTTTTTTAAAAGTATGGTTCTTACCTGTTGTAAATGGAACACTTTTGCAAAACTACTTAACGGAGATTCAAATCAAGGGGAAAATTGACAAGGCAGTGATATATAGGCTACTCATTTAAGCATTATTAACAGGTATATGATCTCATCTTTCCTCTAGTAAGAACATTTAAAAATACTCCACAGGATTTAAAAATCAGATGACATTATTATTCTCATTTTATGATCTTTTGTAATATATGAATAAAGCTATACATCTTAATTAATTTAATTATGAATAAAATCTAATATAAAAGTAGCTTATTTCTGAGATTTTTAAAGAATTTCCATTTTCAACCATTATATAATAGGTTAGTTATCTCTTTGTATCTTCTGTCAGGCAAATGGACTGAGACCTAACACAATACAGACTTTAGAGGACAGAACATTCCCTAATGGTTTTAAATCTTTCATAATTATAGAAAACAACTTTCTTCATACTTTTACTACATTTAAGCTCTGAATTTCTGTACTTATAATAATGTACTATTGCATTATTTGGATTCAAATGTTGAAATCTATCATAGCAGTTATATAATACGAAAAATTATCAGTTTAGACAATGTACCCAGGTTCAAGAAGAGGAAAACAAATAGGAAAACCTTAAGAGTAGAGTCAGTGATAAGGACTCAAAAGAAAAACACATTGTGGATTTCTGCTTTTAGGTTTTTATCTGGAGCTTATGTACTTACCTCTCCTCCTCTGCCTCCCCCTCTTACAGTCCATTGAAATCATAAAAATTGTAAAAAAAAGAAAACTGCTCTATGACTACTGGGAAAGACAGAAAAGGGTAACTTTATGCCATTGACATATAAGAAATGTAGAACTTCTGGAGTGCGTGAAACACAGGGAACCACACTGAAACCAAACTAATCAGACTTGTATAGCAGGTAAGTAGGGAGCCTCTTCAGAAGCAAGTAAGTGGGTAATTTCTTCAACTTATCCTGAAAGAGTTTTCATTTTGGAGCAACAGAGGTTTAAACGGGGATGTACTGAGGGCAAGAGGTGAGGGTTAAATTATATTATTTTGGAAACTTTACTAGTGACCCATATCATATATTTCCTTAGGTATTACTTTATATGGATAGTGTACTAAATAAAGAACTAATAAATTGAGGAGAAAATAAAATAAAAATAAAACTCAAAGGCTATTTAGAAATTATTAAAAGTGAAATAATCATATATGAAAATCTATGGGATGTGTTCAAAGATATACACAGAAAATAATCCAAGTCTTAAGTTAATTTCATAATAGAGCAGAAAGATTGAAAATAAATTAACTAATCCATGCTAGTCACTAATCCGTGGTTTTGAGGAGTGCTGTATTAAGAAGGGTTCTAAAGATGAGTCTGTGCTGACACTGAGTGCAGCTGTTAGAGAGTAGAGAAAACAGCGTTCAGTGGATTTTGTTAGATGCACTGTATAAAGCCATTAAGAACCAGATAATTTTTTAAATTTTTAAATTATTTTTAAATTTTGCTTTAAGTTCTGGGATACATGTGCAGAATGTGCAGGTTTGTTACATAGGTATACATGCACCTATCAACCCATCATCTAGGTTTTAAGCCCCACATGCATTAGGTATTTGTCCTAATGCTTTCCCTCCCCTTGTCTCCCAGCCCCCTGACAGGCCCTAGTGTGTGTTGTTCCCTTCCCTGTGTCATTGTTCAACTCCCACTTCTGAGTGACAACAGGTGGTGTTTGGTTTTCTGTTCCTGTGTGAGTTTGCTGAGAATGATGGCTTCCAGCTTCATCCATGTCCCTTCAAAGGACATGAACTCACCCTTTGTTATGGCTGCATAGTATTCCACGGTGTATATGTGCTATATTTTCTTTATCCAGTCTATCATTGATGGACATTTGGGTTGGTTCCAAGTCTTTGCTATTGTAAATAGTGCTGCAATAAACATACGTGTGCATGTGTCTTTATAGTAGGATGATTTGTAATCCTTTGGGTATATAACCAGTAATAGGATTGCTGGGTCAAATGGATTTCTAAGAACCAGATAATTCTTATATTGCTCTAAAGCTCAGAGTGAGAGGAGGTTTCCCAATTATTTTTTGAGGCAAGCATAATTCTGATACCCAAATCTGAGGAAGAAAGCATTCAGAAGAAAACTAAAGGGCGGGCATGGTGGCTCATGCTTATGATCTCAGCACTTTGGGAGGCTGAGGCAGGAGGATCACTTGTGGTCAGGAGTTTGAGATCAGCCTGGCCAATATGGTGAAACCCTATCTCTACCAAAAATACAAAAATTAGATGGGCATGGCAGCATGCACCTGTAGTCCTAGACACTTGGAAGGCTGAGGTGGGAGAATCGCTTGAACTCAGGAGGCAGAGGTTGCAGTGAGCAGACATTGTGCCACTGCCCTCCAGTCCAGCCTGGGTGACAGAATGAGAACCTGTCTCAAAAAAAAAAAAAAAAAAAAAAAAGAAAAAAAAAAAAAGAAAAACTACAGATAAATTTGTAGAGACCTCAAATAAAATATGTTCAAGTAGGTTTCACCAGTAAACATAGTAAAATAAGCAGAAACATTGTTTACAGTGAAAAATAAAATTCACCTACAAGTGATAAAAGAAGCTCCTTTCAATTTCTGTTAATCTTAAATTAAATAAATTGTATTACAATTCACAGACAAGGTGGTGAATAATATCCATTCAGCTTTGTCCGGAACAGCACGGATGATAGTGACGTGGTGGAATTCACCTTTGTGGCTATTTAGTGACCCGTTATCATGTGGGCTGTGAGAAATCAGACTGCTAGTCTCGATTAGCATCTAGACTGAAAGTGTGAGAATAGGTGAAAGCCGAAGTAGGATGCCCAGTACCTGATTTTTAATATGAAACTCTCCTTTGTCTCTTATGTTTTGAGTTGGTTATCTGAATGCCTGTCTTACTTGCCTTTGCTTTCAAGAGATAAGAACTATAATGATTCACCTTTGTTTCCATCTAGGACAGACTTTTCCATAGAGCAGGTGCTAAGAAAACACTTAATTGAATTTAATTAAAGAGGCATTGGTATAGTAGGAAGTTCACTGGTCTTGGAGACAGCAATTTGGTTTCAAGGCCAGGCTTTGGTCAGGATGCTTCCTTTCCAGCTCAACTAGGACTTCCTCTCTGGGGGGCCTCCTTGCCACCCACTCTACCCTGCATTCTGAATGAGCTAATTCTCTGTGTTTTCCCACAAACCTGTTCTTCCCTTTCTGGGGCACTTAACACTTTCCTGTGTCTCCTCTGTGAGACAGTGAGTGTGCTGGGTTCAAACTCTATCCTCTGAATCCTGTGTTTGTGGAGATTAGTACCCCCCAGAGTGCTAAAAAATGTGTTACATGAATAAATGGTTTAGCTTCTCTGTGCTTAAGTTTTTCCCATCTAAAAATAATAATGTTAATAATACATAATATTGGGATTTCCAAGAACCTCCCTTAGAAAAAAGGCTACCCCCTTTCATAAGAACAGCAGTTGTTTGTTATTGAACACTTATTAGATGTTCACTGACCAGACACTTCACATATATTATCATTATGTCCTATCCTTGTGCCACAAAGAGAGAGGTGCTGTTGTTCCCATTTTATAGGTGTTTGGGGAGGTGAAACCACTGCCCCAAATCAATAGCAAGCAAGGTAGTGGCAGAGGTGGGATTTGAATTCCAAGTCTGTAATTTTTCTACTATAGAATTTAGTCACATGCATTTAATATTTCTATAGGAAGCTCCTCTTGGGTTGCCATCAACAGGTCTCCTCATGGCTATCCTGGCTGTGTCATGATGGTCTCCAAAAGTCTGGCCCTGAAAGTTAAGCTACTGAGATCCAGTCCGTAATGTATTACTGAGTACATGGTAAGTGTCTGCTCAATATGTAATTGTTGAATAAAATACTGAATTAGTGAATGAAAAGCTTATAGATGATACTAGTAATTTATGAAATAAACCAAGAGACTCTTCATGTATGTGTGACTGAAGAGTTTTTAAGCACAACTAACCTGGGCAACATGAAGAAACCCTCTCTCTCCAAAAATACAAAAATTAGCTAGGCGTGGTGGTGTGTGCCTGTAGTCCCAGCTACTCAGGGGGCTGAGGTGGGAGGTTCATTTAAGCCTATGAGGTCGAGGCCGCAGTGAGCTGCCATAGTGCCATAGGACTTCAGCCTGGGTGACAGAGCGAGACCCTGTCTCCAAACAAACACACGCTCACAACTTTAGTTGACATACAAATATTCCTAGAAAGGTAAAACTGGAATTGGATTCTCATTTAGTAGTGAAAAATGTGAAATAAGGGATTGATTAGTTAACTAGGGATCTTATTAAAAATGAACACTTCTACATTATTTATACAGGGTTTGTTATATTTAAACCCTCCATTTGTAAATGTGATATACAATGCTTTGTGAATTGTAAATTGCTAATAATACACTTAATATATTATTAAGGAATTGTTTTCTTTTATGTGAAAGGTGAAGAAAGTGTCCTTTGGGATTTGTTGAAACTCAAGGAAGAGAACAGTTTTGAGACTCAGGAAGATCTAAAAAGAAAAGGGCTCTTTTATGCAGGGAAAATAATGTTTTCTGTTTTTTATTTTTTTTTCTTGTCAGTGTCTCCTTAGAAACAAATCTGGTTGACTAAGCTTTAATAAATAGATTCAACCGGAGTATTTGGCTATTTCAGGGTAGCGACATCCTTAGATTTCCTTAGGTGAGAGTGGCGTATTGTCACGATGCACAGGAGGTCTGAAAGGACAGCCAGGAAATTCTGAGCAAGCCGGCAGTGTTCAGGATGAGCAGCAGCTCTGGGGAGCCCGGGCTGATTCTAGTTGCCTGTCAGACTTGTGACTCAGCAGCTCTTTGCTTCCCTCGGTTGATTTCTTCCTGTTCCATCACCAGTTCGTTACTCCTTTCTTCTCTCCTTGTTTCTGCCAGTGGCTTCTGCTTATTGCCATTTATTTTAAAAAATAAGAAACCATTAGAGGCTTACTGTGTGCCAAACAAAATATCATTTTTATTCTCACAGGGTACAGGGTGTCTTTCTTTTCTGACCATTCATTACCTTAGTCCCCACAATGAGTGTGCAGGGAGCCCCAAAGCCATCACAATAAGAAAATATTCATGAATGAACAGAAAACGATATATTTCCCACCCAAAAGCTCCTCCCCATTTATTATTAGTCTTGGTGATTAACAACCACTCATATACAACGTAAATGTAATTCAAAGCATAATTGTAAAATTTGCAAAAGATGTAGAATTTAATGAAGTTGTCAACAGAAAAGCCATTGGTAAGTGAGAATTTGGGAGTGTGGCCAGTTAACAATTGGAGAAGATAAAATTGACATGGATCACAACATAATAAACATGCTAAAAAAGAAAGATTTGAGTAGTAAAGTCTTGGAATAATTTTAGAAGTCTTGGAATATGTTTTTAAAAACGTGAAATGCAACGTGAACTGTATTATCCTAGCATTTTGTTTTGTCCTCCTAACTCCATGACTTGACACTTTGTTCATTCTAATACTTGGTATATACTGAAAGCTATAATAGAAATATTAGTAATATTTTAAGATACTTATTTTTATAATTCTATTTTTAAGATAAAGTCATAATCATACTTTTGACCATTTGCTCAAAATTTTTGGACTCTGTTTTAGTGGATTTATTTTAGGTGCCAAACAATTATCCATTGCCCTTTTTAAATGACAACTTCCTATACTATTATTTTTCTAATTTTACAGGTGAGGAAAATGAAGTCCAGAGAGGTTCACTCACTCGCTTTAAGGTTTTTTGTTGGTCACTGAGAGAACTGGGATTAGAATGTGGGCACTAAGACTTCACATACCACATTCTTAAATACCAAGTTAAACTGTCCTTGTGCCCTATCAATTCCCTTTTTATATTTCAAATTCAAATTTTCAGGAAGCTTCTTTTAGGCTGACTCATCACTATTTGGCTTAGAGTACCCCAGTTCGACACAGCTCTGGTTCCAGAACATCCTTATGCTGCTGTCGGTTTCCAAATAGCTCTTCTGAAATTAATGCCCAAATCTCTGGTTCAATCAGTTGCCACTAACTTAGTGGCAAGGTTACATAATGCATGGCTACTTACTCTCAAGGAATTGTCTTTAATCATTTGGAAAGATACTTTGGTTGTGGCACTCATTTTACATCTCAAAAAAAGGGACAAATAATACACAGGCTCCTGGCATGGCCTATTTAATTTCTACGTTTTTTGAATATGCTATCTAAATGGAAGATTTGCTCATAGCTTTACCTCCTTTGTTGGTAACTCAGAGAACTGGAATAAGAATGTCGGCACTAAGACTTCACAGGAATAAGTATAAACAGAAGACATCATTATTCTACCCACTGTTCGACACAGTCTGTCTCTCACTCTCAAGGACTATGTTAATTGTGCTACTTGAAAACTGATTTTGCTATTTTGCTCTTCTGAAATACATTTTAGAAATCTTTGGTGTGTTCAGTATTATATGATTGAATGTAGGCATTAACATAGGCCAGACTTTTATCTTTTTCGGGTCCCCAACCTTTTTATGAAATAAGAATTAGGCCCTTGGTGATTTTTGAGTGATATATGTTCATGGGGTTAGAGAAACATGAATAGCTACTTGGAGCCCTTAGAAACTGAAAGTCATCTAAGACTTGTAAACGATAAAGGCTGTGACAAATTATTAATAGGCCCAAATAATCTCTTTAGCTTTCACTCTAAAGTCCTGCTAATAACACCTTACTTTTATATAGGATATTACGACTTGAGAATTTTCTTACATTTATTATCTCATTCATGGTCACAAAGCTATATGATGTAGAAAAGGGAAATGGCATTACTCTGTTTTTATGGTGAGGATACTGAGGTTGTTCTGATGTCTAGCAGTGACAGTCCAACACTAGAATAATTCCCTCAATTCCTGATTCAGTGCTTTTTCCACTCCCCATAATAAAGAAGGAGAATAAGACGATAATGAAGAAAAGAAGAAAGATACCTAATAATTGTTAAATACCAACCATGTGCTTAATACACTATTTAAGAAAGTTAATTTTCAATTATTTTGCATATTATAGTTGCAGAATACATGCTTTAAATTCTTTTCTCTGAATCAGCAAGATCAATATCATATCTACTTTGTAAGTGAAGAAATTGTAGAATATTAAACAATGTAGACACATTAGGAAAATCAGTTGGGAAATTAATTAGAATTAATTGTTTATTAATTTTTAATTATTAATTTAAAATTTTTAAATAATTTAAAAATTATTAATTTAGTTATGTGTTTATCATCAGGTAATTATTAAAATAATTAACAACAGGGGATTTACCCAGACTAATTAGCTGTGTCTTTTACCCAGGGCAGCTGTTAGAATCTTGTCAGATTTTCTCATCTTGCTTCAGCAATCGGTTTTATTTTAATTTTTTCTTCGTTAAAATTGGCTTATTAATTATGGTAAATCACATAGGTCAGAACAGTTTTTACACTGCTCTTATTGGGAAAAATAATACTTTGTCCTAAGCATTTAATAGTAATACTTTTAAAAAAGTTAAAAACAAAACAAAATAACACCAGCTGGAGAAGACTGACCCTTGGGGTGATTGGTAGCTTATCACACACTAATTGCATCTTATGTTCAAAATCACTGGCATGCAGTATATTACATTTAATCATAGTTCAGACTCCAGGACTTTTTTTCTCTGGGGTGCTATGGAGAGAACAATAATAAAAAAACTGTGAGTCTCTGCATTTCTGACTCATGCTCTTTATTTTTCTTTACATGCATGTATTCAGAAAAGAGTGGTTTCTGTAGAATGGTTGATTATGGTAATAATTATAACTCATAGTTGTATTATAGGCAATTATTTGAGGTGGAAAATTCCTGAAATTTGGACTAATGTTGTCCTATTACCCATATCATATTGAAACCGAGTTTATTGACTGAAAAATTTAGCTTATGAACCCCTTTTAACAAGCTCCTGAAATAAATCAAGGCTTTTTTTAGACACATGTCCTTGCCATGAGTGCTTATCGGAATGACATTTTTGTGACTCTTGGCACATTAAACTTTCTGATTTTCCTGACTGGTCATTTGAGGACAAATTAAGAAAACATTGAGGATAAAGAAAAAAATGACTCTGAAGGCAGTTGTATTTAATTCTAAGATATAAAGAAAGGCTGTGGAAATACCATGTCTGAATTTAAAACAGAAATTACTTGAGACTTTCTGAGACTGACTGACAGGCAGAGAGTTTGCTTGGGATTTAAGTAGGCATTTTGTCAAGCAGAACACATGCAACAAAACATTTCATTCCACTGAATAGGACTCAAACATGACTCAACTGTATTAATATCTTATACATAATATTTCATTTATCATTTATTTTATCAAAATATTAAGTTTTGGTCATATATTTGATTTATTTAACTTTATATAGCTAAATCCTCCTAACATAGATTAAATAGAATTTCTGGCTAAGTTTTCAACTTTTATCACTCTTGCACATAATTTTTTGTTAAGACCACCAAAATCTTATATTTAACAAAATTTAATTTAACCAACTGAAAAACATTGAGAATATTTACCTTTAAGGTTTATATTTTAAATATATAAAATCGTGTTTGCTGTATCAGCAATTTAGGTGTAACAGTATTTATGACATCAAAGAAAAAATCATGCAGTTTGTTTAAGTGGGAGGTGCCGTAAGATTGGGGAAAAAAGTGAGGTTTACATTCTTATGGTATTATTTACTATCTTTGCTATCTGAGGCAATAATTTACTTAGTCTGGGTCCATGTTCCCTCAACTGTAAAATAATCTTTATTGCACATGGTGCCAAGGCATATGCT